CTTGGAGGGCACAGATCTTCGCAAGAGGGGCCGAGAGGTTGCCAACTTCACGGCATTTACGCAATCCCAGTACATCAAGTACTTCACCACCTCAACAGAGCTTGCGGACGATGAGCTGCTCACTGAAGCTGAAGCTCAGCTGGCTTGGTTGAGAGACAAGAAGAACCCGGAGATCGAGAAGGCCCCCGATTGCCCGGTTCAGAAGTAGTTGACATGGTGAGTCTGAAATACTTCGCACTGTGACCTTGAACTTGATGCAGGAGTCGAGGAAGCTCCTCAACCGAAAAACGGGATTGTTCGAGGACAAAGATATCATGTGGATCCCGACGACCTTGAAGAAGAAGAAAGAACAGATAGAAGATCAGTTCAAAAAGGTCAACAAGGTTGACCAGACGGACAAGGTGACTGATGCAACCGTGAAGGCTGCAAAGGCCCGCTTGACGGGGTTTTTGTCCTTCCAGCCTGACGACGAGTTCTTCGGGAGTTCAAGCATCTTCGTGGACGAGGGCCAGGATGATAGTGTGACCGTGCTTACGCCACAGCAGCTGAATGCCAAGGCCAGAGCCAACACCAAAGCCAAGGCCGGCAAGGTAAAGAAGCCGGAGGACATTTCAACTTTGCGGGTGAAGCAGGCCACCAAGCTCCTGCCACATCTGCGGCTCTTGAACGGCATGTTCATGGATGTGAAGACGAAGTGGGAGTCGTTCCGGATGCTTGCCGCAAGTCGCACTGCAAGTTGTGGCAAGTTAGCTGTTTCACGAGTTGGTGTGTGTGTGTGTGCGCGCATGTCATCGGTTGGCCCGGTCGCAAGCAAGGCAGGAGCATGAAGACTTGCTGCAGACCTACCAGCGCCTTACGAAGAAAGGTGTTGACCGGGAGAGAGCAGTCAAAGATGCAAGCGAGCTGGGCTTGGGAGTCTCGTCTGCTCTGGTGGGTGCAAAATCTTGTTCTGGGGCATCATTTTCGCGTTGTTGCATGTGTGGATTCCAGGTGAACAGGCGACGATGGTGAAGCTGATGTATTCGGTTATGCACCGGCTCGAGTTGGTGCAGCTCATGGCGTTCGGCTGTGGTGTGGAGGACCGTGCGAGCTGATTCCAATTGCCCGTGCTTATGATTTTGACATGGGCCTTGAGTCGAAAATGGAGTCTACAGTTCAGATTTCGTGATGTCCAGGGCTACGTTCTGATGCCGCAGCCGACA